GCTAATCAGTCAAACCGATCAACCGCCAAGACAACTGGCCAGTCGTCTCACCAGTCTTCCGGCCGGTCGACCGCCAGCCCAACTCCTTCTCCTCTTGGTTGACTGTCACTTACCCCTTTTGATGCTTCTCTTCTTCTTTTGCTCTCCTTCTGCTTATTGTCTACTGTGTACACTTATTTCACAAACTTTTTACATGCAATATTCTTTTTTTTCTTGTTATATCTGTTTTTTCAACACTATTAACAACTTCAATTAATGAATTTTTTTTCCTAGCAATATTCTGTTTTTTCTTGTTGTATTTATTTTTCCCAACACTATTAACAACTTCAATTGATGAACTTTTTTTTCCTACAGAAACATAATTGGAGATGATTCTTGCATTTTTATTTTTTAATGTCCAATTCAGATTTGTTTAGATATAAATTGTGTGCTGCTAGATGGATGACAACAATTCTGATGATAATCAGGACACAAGAATCTGGAGTTCCAGAATTGAAATGAAGCTAATAAACATGCTGAGAGACGAGGTACAAAAAAATCAAACAACAGGCCGTAGTACTGTGTGGATAATTAGGCATTGGAATCATTTTGCAACTGAGTTGCAAAATTTGTATGGGTTTCAATACAGACCAAAACAAGTGGGACAAAAATATCAGCGACTGAAAGCTGATTACCAAACCTTCAAAAAATTGCAGGCACAGACCGGTCTAGGATGGGATCTCATTGTAGGAACAGTTATTGCACCCGATGAATTTTGAGATAAAGTATTGAATTAACCTATACCCTTTTAATTTTAATTTTTTTTTGGGTAACATTTGATCACACGTACAGAACGCTTATTTTTAATATTTTCAATTGTTGTAGTTTTGTGCCACAGGAGCCTTGGCCCGTGCATCCACACAAGGAGCCCCTGGCTCTGATGAAGAGAATGAAATGCTTAACAAATTTTGGTCTCCTGGAACTGGTGGGAGTAATGCGGACGAACCTATTGTTGTTGACTTATTTGGCGATGAGTACATAGAACTATTGAAGGGTAAAAGTCACAAGAGGGGCCCTACAAATATCCAGACTGATAGTGGTCATTCTAAAAGGTCACAGCCAAGTGGCTTTGATGATGTCTGCGCAGCTTTTACTACCTATGTACAGGCAAAAACGGAACATTCCCATACCCAATCAATAGACATAGAGGCTGCAAGTGCAAGTGGTGATGACTATTCCCTTGATGCATGTCAAGATGCCCTGTTAGAGCTTGGGGACATACCACCGATCCAGTACATTAGGGCACTAACACTATTCAAAGACAAGGAATGACAGAGGTTTTTTATGCGTACTCTTGCCCATATGTATGCGTACTCTTGCCCATATGTGCCTAGGTATGATCCTAGTTTTGCAGTGAAAAGAGAAGTTGTGGCTTGATCAAGCTTGTGGTTCTCTTTGTGGTTGTCCAACATGATTTGATGATGTCTATGTTGTTCTTATTAATTTTTTTTTCACTTGATGACATGTTTTTTTTTTATCCGTCTTTCTCTGTTTATTTCTATATTTTTTAAAATTGTTTCTGTTTTACATTTGGATGTAATTTTATTCTTCTGCGTTCTTTCATGCTTGTTTTCTTATTTCTGCTTCAATTTTCAATTTTACACGCAGCATATAATATGATAAGGTAGTAATGATAATATGACTAAATATTAATATATTTTTTTCTTTGCATGTATGTTTCCATCTAGTTCAATCAATGACTCAAGCTGACAAATTGTAGGTAGTGGTTTATTTTAGTTTCACCAATAATGGTAATAGTTAGCATGTTGTTAATCATTTTTTTTATAATTATGCGTTATTGTCATGTAGCCGAAACAATATATCATCCGACACAGAAAACAATGCAATGGAGAGGTCATCAGAGAAGGATGAGGTTATTGAAGATTTTATGGGCTTTTTGATGATTGTTTTTATGAATGAGCATATGAATGCGTCAACTAGTAGATGACCACAATGAACTTGTCCATTCAAAGGTGATGATTGCATCTTCAGTTTATTAAATGGCCATCTAGAAACAATGATGAACATCATACGAATGGATGCCCAAACATTCATTTTATTGAAAGACACCTTACTTCAAAATGACTTTGTCAAAACTGAACATATGCATATCAATGTCGAGGAATCGCTTGGCATTTTTTTGTACACTTTCATACAAAATGACCGGCATAGACTACTAGCCAATAGATTTCAGCACTCCACTGAAACTATTTGTCGACACATCAAAATCATTATACGGGCACTGAGCAAGCTTGCATCAATGGTTATCAAATCACGTAACCAAAATGAGGTACCGGCAAAAATTTTAAATGATAGGAGGTTTTTTCCCTGGTTCAAGGTATGACTACATGTTTGTCTTGTAAGTTTTCAATAACAGTATCGAATTAATTTTTTTATTTTTTTATTTATTATGTTTTACAAGTAATATCTACATTTGTTTTGTGTTTAATGTCAAACTAATATATTTCAAGTAGGATTGTGTCGGTGCTATCGATGGCACATTGGTGGATGCGTGGGTCCAGCCTCAAGACATAATACATTCCATGGTCGCAAAGCTACAGTATTACAAAATGTACTCACAACCTGTGATTTCAACATGTTGTTCACATTTATCAATTCTGGATGGGAAAGTAGCCCTCACGACAACGCAATTTTAGTCGACTCAATTACAAGAGCTGATTTACATTTCCCACACCCACTCCATGGTGAGTGTCACCAAATAACACACTGTACTGTCTTAAATGTTGATTTTTTTGTACATGCATTTGACAGAGCATTGCCTGCATTATTTATATGTAGGCAAGTATTAATTAGTGGATGCCGGCTTCACGAACATACCTGGATTTCTTGCTCCATTTCGTTCCCAACGCTATCACTTGTAAGAGTTTCATAGCCGTTATTATTTTGGACCAAAGGAATTGTTTAACCATCGACATTTGTCGTTACGCAATGTCATAGAAAGAACATTTGGTGTTCTGAAGAAGTGCTTTCCAATAGTGCGGTCCATGCCAAATTACAAGTCTACAAGACAAGTGTAGAGATCCTAATTTTGATAATTACATGTGTAACCTTGAGACTTAGATTAATAGCATTTTAACCCCTAGTTTTGTAAAAGTCTGCAAAATGGCCCAATAAAGAATAATTTTCCCGTATATCATCATAATTAAATCATAGAACACCACTTTATAATTAGAAATACCCTAAAACTTGATTTTTATTTATTTTACCTCCTAGTTTCTAAATTAATTCATACATTTTATTTTTTTTAGCTTATTTGAATATTTATTAGTTATTTTAATCTTTATTATTTATTTGAGCAAATTAGTGGAAAACAAAATATCTAGATATTTATTATTTTCCTTAGTCCTTAAGCAAGAAGGTAGAATGGTCTTTTTAACCCGAATTCATGGCCTATAAATTGAGAGCCTTATCACAATTACATACCCACATTTCAACAGCCAAGGAAAGGGTGAGGGAAGGAGAGTGTGATTAGGGGGAAGTAGAGGAGAAGAAGAAGAAGAAGAAGAAGAAGAAGAAGAAGGAAAAAAAAGAAAGAAAGAAGAAAAGGAAAAAAATGTGCTTTCTTGAGTCAAGGTAAGAACACTTCTCTCCCTTGTCTTCTCCAATTCTTTCACCCATCTCATCCTATTGTCTAGTATGCCTTCTTGTGTTGCATATTAATGGTGAATAGGGTTTTTGGTGTGTATGAAAGTGTGGGTATGATCTAGTGACTGTCTTACAAATTTGTCAAACTATGCACTGCTGCAACTTCTCTAATTTAAAAGAAATATCAAATTTATTTATTTCTCAAATCTGAATTTAATGTAGGATATTTGGCGTGTTTAGAGCTTGTGATAATTTTATTACCCTCTCATTGTGTGTTTTTAGGGCTTGGATATTTTGTTTTATAAATCTGGTCCCGAGTCTCTAAAAACAGTCCACTTCTTGCAATTTAATAAAATTCCAGAAAAATCATCTCATGTTGATTTTTCTGTCAAAATTTAGAATTCTGAGTCCTCCTTACAACAGAATTTATTTGGGTAAAAATCATCGGGTAGATTGTGAGGAAAGCTAGTTTTCCCAAAGGGTGACAAATCTGGATAGGTTTTCGAACAGAGTTTGTAGATGAATTTCTAGATGTGCTGTGCAAATTCTGAAAATTGGAATTGAAAATAGACATGTTGTTTATTGTTTCTATGCAATTTCAGCCCCTAATATGACCTAGAAATATTTTTACCAAAGCATTCTTTTTAACTCTGCAGTTCTGAAAAGTGCTGAAAATTGTGTCTTATTGTGTTATTTGTTTCTAAGTATTTCAAAGCATTCCTAATGTTGTTTGTTTGCTTTACCATACTAATGCATGATTATCATGGGCTACATTTCCTCTCTTATGTTGTCTCATGCTCTTTTATATTACCGAATGTGACTAACTTATTTATCAAAAGATCTAATAAATGGGAAATGATAAGGGGTTGGCAATGGGTGACGTTCACATTAGTGTTTCGGAATAATTTATACATATGAATGACATGAATTATGATGGGATTAATACCAAATGAGTTAAGTCTTGCGCAAGCGGTCTAAGTGAACCTCTAGGAAGACACGGATGTATTCAAACTCTACGCAGTGTTTCAGGGTGTAAGTGAGCCCTTTGGTATGGTATGGTATGGTATGGTATGTGCAAGGTGTAAGCGAGCCCTAGGCACGATTTGGGTGTAAGCGAGCCCACTTATTTGGCCGGCCCTTTTGAGATCCATCAATGTCACTGACCGGTAAATAACCGGGACGTGGGCATAGGCGGCAAGGTCCGCAAAGCAATAAATGGGGGAGTTCTGAGACGTCCGATGTTCAACCTTGTGATTGGGTAGAAGGATCTCTTTGGTGGATTCTAGATGTCTAGTCTAATTACTAATTTATAGAACCTTATTGTAATATTGTATGTTATGTTTAGTGGTTTGTTCTATGTATGGTTGATTGGTTGATAGAAGATATGGGGGTGTATGTGTTTTTACTGGACATTCCAAGCTCATGGCGTGTCATACCAGGTGAGGAAGCAATTTACGGTGGTGAAGGTTATCCGAAGGCAATCAAGATGAAGTGTTGGAGGCGTGGTTCACTTTAAGATTTAGACTAGTAGTTTTTTTTTCATTTTACTTTTGGTTTGACAGTATTTTGTAATCCTATAGCGGAACACAAATGAATTATCTATGCTATAACTCTGCTTATATGTGTATATTAAAATATTTTAGTTATCTATCCTGTTTGAGTTGTATTTTGTACATTTCTTTTACGGTCTCGAATTTTGGGGCGTGACAGCCAAACAAATGGTCACCAAAAAAAAGAAAAAAGACGCAAAAAGTCAATTTTCTAGTAGTGCTCTTAAGGAAAAAACAATACCAACTACTAAGGGATTCAATATGTAGCAGACTCTATGGAAAAAACAATACATTCTGTGTAGTCCTCTCATGGTCCCATTTGCCATTCAGCACCAATGACTTCCACTAACGCTTTTCCTTTAACTACATCCTGTAATTTTATTCATTCAAAAAAACAGCATCCTGCAATTCCATATAAGGAAAACTCAAAAATAAGACTAATTCTAGTGAAAGTTTGTAGAAAAATACACCTAATTAAGTAGCCCTCGGAACAATATTGTCCCCATAAGGGCACTATCAAAAACAGTCTTCTATAACTTCCTAACCTTCTTTTGTTTTTCATGTTCTCAGCTCATTCCCATCATAAGCTGTGCCACAGAGCTCTTGATATCTGACAAAGTTGAATGTTTTCATGCTATGTTTTGATCAATAATTTGGACGGCAGTTGGGAATTGAGCCAAATTGGGAATGATCATATAGTTTAGAGACCAAATTGGGAAAAATAAACTTTAAGGGCCAAGGTAAGAATTCAATAATACTTTACGAGGACAAAATATAATTGTATATATAGAGAGAGAAAGAGGGAGGGAGAGAAAGAGAAACCTGAGCAGAAGAAAGCACTTCTGGTGAAAAGCGAACATATCGTTGACTACCATAAACTGCAGAACTAACATCAAAACCGCTGCGAACTTTCCCTTTTCCAATCTCACTAGATAAACCCCACCTAGAAGCATGGAAAACTTACACAGTTCAATCCGTTAAACTTTGGCTTGCTCTAAACATTGGCATATGGAAACATCTCAAGCATAATAATGAGCAAATTTGTAACAATACATTAATGATATAGATCAGATGATTCAAAAAATCACATTTATTCTAGTAGCTCAGAAAGCATAATCATTATAGTAGATGTTTCAATTGTAGTAAAAGAGAAAGAACATGATAGGCAAAAAATATGAGCAAATAAACACCACTAAAGATCAATTAAGTTAAAGATTTTAAAAGTACAACAGGAAAGATACAATACCTGATTCCGATATGAATAGAAGTCATTGCAACCTAAGATTGTAATGTCAAGATCTGCATGAATAATCCAGTTGAGACATTAGATATTTACAATTACTTAATTTTAATAAGAAAGATGAAGCATCAAACCATTACCTTGTAAAAGTAGTTTGTGTAACAAATCCTTCTTATCCTTTTCCAACGTTGCAAGGGCTGCTGCTACAGCATATTGCACTGCATATTCTACAAAGGGGTTCCTTGATTCACTGAGATTTTAAGCCAACACTGATAAGCATCACCTCAAGCTAATATACTATTTATTTTCCCCGTTATTTGAATTTGGTTATTAAGACGTGAGAAACCACTAAAAATAATTCTTATTCAGAAGACACAAATGTGGATTGCTTCGTAGCTACTCTTCTTGCCCCGGCTAGTCCAAGGTAATGAAGTAAAGAGAGAAAAGTAAATGTGGATTGCTTGGTAGCTGCTCTTCTTGCCGTGGCCAGTCCACAGAAGACACAAATCCTCTTGAACTTGGATTGCTTCATTTCATTCTCTCTACATCAGTCGTCCTAGTTGCAATATCAATAGAAATTCAAACTATATGTAGAAAATATTAGCAGAACATCAGGGAAAGTTTTCGTCATAATTTCAACCTAAAATGTGAATTTAGGACCTATTTATAAGTCCAAAAATGATGTTCTATATTTAATGGAAACAACCTTCAAGGTTCTAGCTTGGCTTTATTACTGCTTATTACACTTTACAAGGTCAAATGAATTATATATGGCCAACATACATATAGTCTCTTCACAAGTTTTGTATGAACCAGCCAAAGACCCTTCACAATCTAAAACTTCAATGATCTATAAAACGGTATATTAAATTTTATGAGATTTGTAGTTTCATTTGAAGAGATCACTGCAAGTAGATCTATTGTGGAAGCAAGAAGAATTTTATTATTATTATTATTATTATTATTATCAGTGATATTTATATTAATATTTTATTTTTGTCTAACTACATCTAGGTAGGAATAAATTCTCTATTGCATGAAGGTAAGGTAAAAGCTATCATTCGATATGGATTGCATCCAGAGAGGAAGGTCACTAATTAAGAATGAGGCAAAGGAAAAATGAAAACATATATCAAAATTTTCTTCTTCTTTTCTTGTTTTCCCCATTTTCACCAGATTCGATTCCTCAAGAGATACTGAAATTAATAGTACCTGTGAGAGATTCAAAGCAGATAAAGAAAAGAAAAATACCAGTAGAGAGATTCAAAGAAGATTCAATTAATCCTTCAACTGTATTCAATTTCATACAAAACTAGGGCCAAAATTTTTATTTTTCTTTCAGAATTGACAATGTGCTTTCAAACCAGTTTAGGTGTAATAAAATTCTGAAAATTCATCATTTGTATATAATTGTGACAGAGCATCATGAGCAACACCATTAGCAATACTCAAAGTAAAATAGACTTCAAGCACGAAAGCTACCAATGGAATGATTCAATATCTAACTTTACAGTAGTTAGGAACCCAATCCTGAATAATATATACTACATCATTAACAAATCATCAAACAACATCACTATGGATTGCTATTGCTATGTTTGGTTGCCAGGAAAGCATAAAACAACATTTCCAAGAAAGAAAAAAAAGAAATGCAGTTGCCAGAAAAGTTCGAAAAGTTGCTAGAAAAAATGCAGTTGCCAGAAAAAATGCTAGTTTTCCCATTTTGGGTATCACCCAAGAGACTGATCTTCAACGCAACCAAGTCCGAAAAGTTCCTGCCGTGTTTGCAGCACCCACAAGGCGTGTCGGAGACGACATGATGGCGGTGCGTGGTAACTGTTTTTTGGTTTTTCCGGCGAAGCTTAAGCAGTGAAAAAAAGGTCATGTGGGATGGCCTCAAAACAGCAGGTGCAGTGCCGCCATGGAAAGGGAAAGCTGGGTTCTTTGTGGTATCATATTTTTGTGGGTGTGTTTGGGGGTACTTTTAGAATTCACTATTATATCGTAACGTAACCACTATTTTGCTAAGATGGTGGCCCATTTTTATGGACAGTTGACCTGTTTTTTGGGTAGGCTAAATCTAAAATAAATTCAAAGTCGGATCCATTTATTAATTAACATGTAATAAAAAATGAGATCAAAATTTGATACAATCATGCAGTTAACATTTTAGGTCAAATACAAAGTGACTTATGGAATACTACTTCTACCACATGTTATTAAAATAAGTAGGAGAATATACTACGCTATATTAATTATGCAACGTACCCATTATTAAAATATTTCCTTTTGTGGCCACTCTTACTACTATGACATGCCTCAGGATGGGACAAATGGCTTCATAAAATACGTTTTTTTTAAGCCACTCTTACTCTAACGGCTTATTTCATGATGGGACAAATAATTTTTAGGTTGAAACTCGGATAGATTTGATCAAGTTCAAGCCTGTGTATTTAATTTCACTTTAAAGCATATAGAGATTTGTCTAAATTCGATCCAAACGAATCTCCTGCCTTAACTAACTTGTCTAAGCCTAAGTCACTACAATATAATTTAGGAGAAATATCACATCAACGGAAGTTGGAAAAAATAATTACAAATTAAAGAGAAATTTTATAAATATTAATAATTAAATTTATAATTTTTTTATGAATTTTTAATTTAATTTTTTATTTTTTATTTTTTCACTTCACTAAGTTGTAATAACCCCTATAATTTAAGAGAAAATTGATAATAAATCCAATATGAAGAGTGTTTAAGGCGTTAAGTCTTATGGATAAATTTTGTTGGTCAAAAGTTCATACTTTGTGAAATATTGTGGTGAGAAGTATATTTTATTATTTTAGAAGATATTGTTTTTGGAATTTTGCCTCATTTTTTTAAACCTATTTGTTCAAATATTTTTTATCTGTTTAATTTTTTAAACCTATCTGTCAAAATTATTAATCTATCTGTTGGAAAAAATCTATTTGTCAAAATTGTTCAACAAGATTTTTTTTTCTTATTTGTTCATTTGTTTTATCTGTTTAATTTTTTAAACCTATCTGTCAAAATTATTAATCTATCTGTTCAAAAAAATCTATTTGTCAAAATTATTCAACAAGATTATTTTTTCATATCTGTTCATTTGTTTTATCTGTTCAAAATTTTTCTTAATTATTAATCTATCTGTTGGATTCACGAGTCTATTATCCTTCTGTATTGAAATTATTTTTTATCTATTTAATTTTTTTGAACCTATCTTAACTTATTTGTTCAAAAAATTGAACAGATCTGAGCTTCCTTTATGTTCAGGGGGACTCGACGAAAATGATTTATGATGATGATGAGGATTCACAAGGCTCACGAAAAACGAACTCAGCATCATGAGGTACTGCATTAGGCTAGAGCTTTGATTTTTTTGTTGAGGTTGTTGTTATAGATCTAAATTCATTAAATCTATACTCTTCATCATTAATTCTCCATCTGATTTGTAACACCCTCAAAATAAACCCATTATATACATTTCATTGACATGCATTATTCAAAGAAAACAATCTATTAATTCATTCATCAGAGTATTACTAAACGAAAACATTACATATAACAGCAAATTAAATGCCCTACAGGCTTATATCTTTCCAAGCCAACACTTGGATACAAAAATATGAGTTCTAACTCAATACAAGAAAAGCCCTAGGCCTGAATGTTTACAAGTACTAATAAATAAAGACAATTAACTAAGATAGTCTTCTTCAAAATCCAGAAGCCAAACCCTCCCAAGCTAAGTCCTTGGAGGTAACTTATCACCTGAACCTGAAAATGATGTTCCCATAAAGGGTGAGCCACAGCCCAGTAGAAATATACTAAACCAAATATAAGCATTGAATAAAGCAATAGCATTCAATAGATGGTTAACCAGGATAATCAATTACATCATTATACAGTTTCATGACATTAATGTCTAAGACACATTTTACTTTCCAACATTATCAATATGGCTCAGAACCTGGCCAAACTTACAACGGTGAACTATATATGTCAAATTCACATACTTCCAATGTCAACACACAAGTGAGACTCAGGCTCAAATCAAAACACTTCATACTTCCAGTTTGATACACATTTTAGTGCTGTATCAATAAAACACTTCAATATAAATAAGCACACATAAAAGTGATGCTAATGGAGTCCATCCCCTATCTCCTCCCAAACAAAAATGCATATACAATGTATTAAACACTCGTCATATACAACACACAATCAATACATGTATTTTCTGTATTAATTCAACAGTCTAAATCAATGACTTAACCAATGTGATTAGTTTCAGTTATTCCTAATCCACATGCAATGTCTACAACAATCACGACTATCCTCCACCGATAGCCCAAAACAGTTATTTCTAGACTGGAAATAAATATAACAACAATTCACTAGGCGAGTGGTTTAAATTATCCCACCACACCATTTAATCAATGAATTTCCTCAATTTCATGAATTTAACCAAATTCCCTTAAACTAATTATACAAATTAATTTATTAATACAACTAGGGTTTTTCCCAAAATTACCAAAGTATCCCCAACATATCAAAATACCAAAACTTAGAACAAAACTTATAGAATGGAGTAGGAAATCCCTACCTCGAAGAAATAGCCCCAAAAGAGAAGATGGAGATGAAGACCCAAACTCCAAAGTGCTCCAAACTACCAACAATTCAGATTAAATGGAAGCCCTCGACCCACTCTATCTTTTTAATAAAGGATCTAAGGTAGAAACTCACTCTAAGTAGATCAATCCTAAGAGAGAAGGTGTGTAGAGGGAGAGAGAAGTTGGACCTAGGGTTTGGAATCAAAAGAAGATGAAAAAGACTGATCAAAACCCGCTGCTGCGTATATAAACTGGACAGGCTCGCTCGAGCGAAGACTTGGTCGCTCGAGCGACTAGACACAAAAATCTACGCTCAAGCCAAGGAGGCCTTGCTCGAGCCAACAACCCAAAAGCTCGCTCGATCGAAGAAACCCTGGCTCGAGCGACGGACCAAAACAAAGAGTTCGCTCGAGCGAAGAACTGCTCGCTCGAGTGAAGGGTCAAAATTCTGGGCAGCAACCCTTTGCTCCCAAGCTCAACCAACCTGCTACAACCTGCCCATTGCATCCCCCAACTCAGAAATAAGAAATTAAAGGACGGTAACAATCATAATACAATGGCAGGAGCTACGGAACCTAAGTCCGGATACAATAATCAAATGAGAAAAGACCGGGGTCGCTTGCTTGAAATTAGACGAAAATAATAACCTCGAGTCCCTTAAAATCGCCCATGATTCCACAACACCATTACACAAATTTCACCAATTTACTTTTAGCTTTTTTTTTTAAACAGATCATCACCATCGTCAATGATACATACAGATATATATATCTATATAATATGGTAGGACGGTTTTTGAAAATGTCCAAAATGTATCAACGATACATTTGATTTTAATGGTCTAGATCAATCCTAAGTATAAATCAATGGTTCATATCAACCTTCTCATATATACCAAACTGTTAGATCCAACCCACATACATGCAGAGTAGAGAGCTAAGGAATGATGGCGTATGAGGACTTCTATCGCAAGTGAAAAAAGTCTGAGTTGGGCATATGCAAGACCAGCTCTTCCTTCTCTTCACGTTCTTGCCATTGTTGACTCTTACCAATAAAAGGTAGAAATTTTGGTGGGTTTCTCTCTCTCTCTCTCTCTCTCTCTCTCACATCTTTGTGTATAAATAGAGACGAGAGGGAGAGGGTGAATTGTATTAGAAATTTGAGAGAGAGAGTTGTGAGTTAAGTGAGAGTATTTCTCCTTATTTGCTTTTGTATTTGCTTTATTTTAGTGAAATTCTCGTTTTTGCTCCGTAGACGTAGGTATTGGGCTGAGCCACGTAAATATTTGTGTGCGTGATTGTT